ATATTGAAATGTCTAGTTTTAATACAGATCATTACTCTGCGAGCATGGAAATACGTTTGAAGTAAAAAAGTAAAAAAGGCAGGAAACATCTCCGCATTTTTCCCCATTAATTGAATATTTTATAACTTATCATTTTTATAAAACGTATCTAAATTACTCAATGTGGTATAAGTGGAAATTGTGACTTGGACTTTGATCCAAATATGCGTAATTCAACAATTTTGTCTGCTAGCGGCGATTAAGCGATCAATGCAATGTGAGAAATTGAATGAATGTTTATTTCTTCTAGAAAAATACTTGTGTATTGTATTTTCTAATAGAAACTCGCGCAAGCGTATTTGTCAATTTTCAATAGCATATCGACGTGTCTTATTTGTTTCATAAGGCGTGTTGATTATTTTGAGAAGTGACACTCATTCAATCTAACAAATATGGATGAATCGGCCTTTAATTTATTGTAGGTAAGACTCATTGCAAATATTTTTTTTTCATGTTTTAAATTCTTTCATATTTTCTTGAAATTAACATTCTATACAATGTTCTTGAAATTATTGATCTACTTAACAATTTTTTAGATAATTGTATATAATTTATATTTATGTAGTTTTTTTCTTATTATTATTATACTATTTTACTTAATTGATTTGTTACATATTCCGCGTAGAATGAAGAATGTGAAGTAAAATATGATATTACGGTATTAAACAACTGCAATAAAATTTTTTTGTTTTTCTGTGTTTAAGATATATGTGTATGTTTATTATATTTTGAAATATATGTTTATCTTAATACCTCTTTGCAAAAGAAACAAAATCATGTTTTATGTTCGCAACAGAACTTATATCACTATATTAACTACATCATACTACATCATACATGATCAATGATTAAGAAATATAAATTATCTAATAATAATCATAATCATACATTATTTTATCTAATGTTTTAGCTAATATTCCATATTGTTTTTTTTTTTTAATTAAATTTAGGAAGATATATTCATATTCTATACAAAAATCTATTTTTGAAAATATCTATCTATATTTGAATAAAACAAACATATTTTTTTATAAGTTTAATGTTTGTATTAAATGAATCATATTTAGTTATAAGAATGATGTAAAATAATGTTGAAGAAAGAACATTAATGAGGAGAGATACATTTTGAAATCAGAAATGTAGTAAACTATAAAAAACTTTATATACAAACAAGATTGAGATGTAACGCATTATTTATAACATCATTGCTGTTACTTTTTTTTTAACGAATTGGTAACAATGTTATAACAGTGTTATATATATTTTATTAATAACGATAACGATAATATAGCTACATTTTTTAAATAATAGTAACGAATATAATTGTTACTTTTATCGTTATATTGCATAATTACAATTGCTATATTTTATATGTATACATGAAACAAGCACAAGCAATTTCTAAAGAAAGGTCTTTTGATAAAAAAGAGACTTGGTAAAAAAGAGGAAATTCAATACTTCTTGAACTCTATTGATATTATAACGATAAGTTAGACGAGTGTCTTCTTTCAGTGAGTAACGAGCAATTATGTGTTCCAACAGGATAACTAATTAACTAACAGGATAAATAATTTTTTATCCTTTATATTATCCTTTTCAGTCTTTTATAGTAGAACTCTATTGAAATTATATTACTTTTCTTATCCCACGAAATTCTTAATTAAATTGACATATCTTTACATATAAAATTTTAATGATTTAGAATACAGCATTTCTTATTTCTTATTTTTTGTATAAATTTAATACAGTTATAAAAATAATAACTAAATAATAACAAAATAATAACTAAATGTATGATTGTATAAAATATATGTATATTTTGCAGTACTTATTTGCAAAATAAAAACCTGTGCAAATGGGAATAATATAAAATATATAATTAGTATATAATTAGTATTTATATAATCAAAATAAAAGTATCTGAAAGAGAATGAACGTCATCAAAATATTATAAAATACAATTAATTGTACGCAAAATTTAGATTGCCGATAAAGACATAATTGTAAGTAACAGAATCTGATTGAGACTGATATATAGAGAATCATGGAGATCACGCCATGTCAAGTATTGAAATTCCTTTGGTAGAAGCAGTACGTTTTTTATCATTTTGACAAATAATTGATTAAATTTTCCATAGCATCATTTTTTCATCTTTTAACATAAATCATTCAATTTAATACAATGCAATATCTAACAAAATATCTTAGAACGTTACTCAATTTGACAGTTTTACCTCGAAGTAAGTTGACGAATAAACGATTAATGAAATGTAGTGAATTGAGAAGAGGACAAAAGGAATAATTCTCTTAACAACGATTCGCGTAAATGCGTTTGCTCATTTCCATTTTGTCGTGCCTTATTTGTTTTGTAGTGTTTGAGTTAGTAAGATACATATTAAACTATCGAGAAGCCGAGTCTTCAAACCGAAATCAAAAATAATATGTGGGGTGACCTCCATATATATACGTTACATACGCGATAAGACAGTAATTCACGTAGTATAGTACGCAACATTTATTATAAACATTAATTGCTGTGAAGAATATATTTTAGTATCATTATGAACACATTAATATTTCTTTGGTGTCTGCAATGATGAGCATTTTTATAAAATTATCTATGAATCGTTGAACTTTTCTTTATATTATTAGCCAGACTTAGCTTATAAAATTTCTATTAAAGTTCCTTTGTTATTATCGATTTACTATATTATTAATTTACGTGGAATGAAGAAGAATAAAATATGTACATACTACAGTACTCATTAAATGTAATATATGCTTTTTTATTTTATGTGCTTAAAATATATTCAAAGATGAATTAAAATATACATCAGTTACTGTTACTAATATCTACTTGAACCAACAAATAGTCCAATAACATTCAAATTTAAAATCTTGTTACCTCTTTATAGAAAAAAAACAACATCATCTTGTGTATATAGCAGCGTGTATATAACTGCTTCATAGTGCATGAAGCAGCTAAATAATGTATTCTATCTGTAATATATGTATGTATATTATATGAGATTCAGGTTCGATTTCTTGGCTGAGGTGATATTTTTCGCAAAATAATTGCGGATTTTTACGACTGGTTCGTAATCGGGTTCCGTCCCGTGGCACACGCCCTCCCTTCTTATCCTTGTTTTATAAAACTAAGATCATCAAGTATAATTATAAAGATAA